ATGTCTCTTTCACACTATTTTCTCTTTTATGAGATTTTATTTCAATGAGTTTGAAAGCTTTCACTATTACAAATAGTTCAGCATCAAAGACTTCAGATTCACAGCCTAAATTCCAGAAATCTGAGATAAAATTGATATTATCTTCAGAATAAGCAATGCCTGCGCCTAATCTATTCAAATTCTCATTTTTTGAGTCATCTGAATAAAGCAGAATAGAGTCTTTTATATTGATTGTAGAAATCCTCTTCAAATGCTGTTTATATTCTTTCTCTTTAGATAGTTCACTTATTTGTAAGTCTATAAGAGATTCAAGCTTTTCTCTTCAGAGAGATAACTTCTCATGATCAACTTTTTCAACATTTAAAGAAGAAAATTGATTTTTAATCAGAGAGCATAGTCTGTACAGTTGACAAGACATTTTCTTTAAAGAATTATTTTCATTTCAATCAAGAAATCTATTTCAATTCAGTTGATTTCCAGAGTTAATTGATGAAAATGAAGAAGAGACTCTTTCTCTGATTATATGATTTGAACTCATCTTTATAACTCTCAGAGCATAGTTCATACAGGCCTTTTCAAATCTAATAGCAGAGAAAGGAATTGAAGCTTCAATTTCCATTGATTTAATAGAAGATGATTTAAATGCTCTCAGAATTCTTCTCAAGACTCTGTTTTGCAGACTTTGAAAGAGTTCAGTCAAATTTTCTTGATTATTTCATCAATCTTGAACTTCATAATCAGCTACTGATGTAATACAGGATATATATAACTGTCTCATAGCCTGAAAGAATAGACCTCTGTCTGTATTTAATAGTCTAATTATGTTGTTTAATAGTCTTTCTGCCTTGACAGTTCTTTGTTGAATGTGATATTTAAAATTCAACTTGGAGTTTAACTATACTTCTAATCATTTGATATTTACACTGGGTTTAATCTCTCTATTTAAAAGAGTTAGAGATAGTTCTTTCTCATTGAATCTAGAAAAGAAATGAATTAACTCAGTTTTATTCATATTAAATTGAATTTAATTAATATCTACTCTAATAAAGATTTTCTTTGCAGCTTCTTCAATCACTTTCAAATTCTCTTTGATAGTTTTTGAGCTGTAGACTAGATCAATATCATTCATGTAACTCAGAGATCACACTATTCTCATATTTCTATTTTTGAATAGATATGCAGTGTATATTGCAAATAAAATGAGTGAGATTGAAGATTCTTACAGTACTTCTATTTTTATCTCAGTCTTATCTTATTTCATTTCATCAAAGAAAAGTTATATAATTCTTTTAAATATAAAACAGTTAACTCATTTTATTAGAGAAAGTGACAGTTTTAACATCTTCAATATCTGAATTCACTTTAACTTTGAAACATGATCAAATGCTTCTTTTATATCAATAAAAACTGCAGTTGAGACCAGATCTTTATACTTTGCTATTTGAATATCATGAACAACTGAGAGAACAGTGTCAATTGTAGAACACTGTTTTCTATCTCTCATTTATTCACTGAATAAAAGAGAATTACTGATAGAGCTTATAAAAGATAGTTAAGTAGCTATTATCTTTTCTAAAACCTTTTCTAGACAGTTCAATAGAGATATTACTCTATATAACTTAAGAATTGAAGTTTTTCTATTAAATTTTATAAGAATCACTTCAGTAGCTTCTCTTCAGCATTCAGAATGATATTCATTTCTCAAGAGATTAAAAAAGAGCTCAAAATATTCATTCTTTAAGTAGAAGTATGTATTTTGAATAATTAAGTAATTAATTGAATCAGGCTCTGCAGCAGTTTTAACTGAACTTGAGAAGATAGCTGACTCTAATTCATCTTGAGTAAGATCAGGTCATTCCCAGTCATTTTCATCAATATAGTTGAGAAGTAACATATTCTCTTTCTCTGAATCTGAATCTGATGAGTTTTGACAGAGAGTTCTTATAAAAGTTTCATATTTTTTCTTAAAAGAGTTTGCTGTATATGATTCATTCTGAAACTCATATTCTAAGATTGAAAGTTTTGCTACACTTCTTGTTTTAGTATAGTTAAAAGCATTAAAAACTTTCTTTTCTTATACTTCTTCAAGAAATTTATGTCAGCAGTCTGTTTTAGCTCTTTTAATATCTGAAAAATATTCATTTCTGACAGCTTTGAACTCTTTATCAGAAATTATATCATTCTTTCAATCTCTTCTAGCAGTAGTCAATTGTTTCCTTTTAAATGTGATATTCTCATTTCATCAAGGTTTTGAATACTTAGAAGACTTTCTCTTTGAAATATTATCTTTAACACTTGCTAGAATAACAGATGTAATGAGCTTCACTCTATTCTCAAGCATTTCATTTGAGATATCTTTATCAGGATTTCAATATAGCTCACTCTGTCTTGCAGATTTTAACAGTTTTATGCTTTCTTCAACTGTCTTTCAGTCAGCTTTTTCAAAGTTAAACTGATTAGAGAGAAAAGGATTTTCACTCATTTGTTCCTCACTCAGTTCAATATCAAATTGAATAATCTCATGATCTAATTCTGATGTCTTATTTGAATCAATAAATCAGTTTACAAGTCTTTTTTTCATTAGATTTTATGATATGAAGATTAGATCTATAATAGATTTCTGTTTCATGTCTTTTCTAAAGAATGTTTGTTGATCAGACTTGTTAACTAAATCTATTGAATGCTCAAAGATTCATTCAATCAGATTATCAGCTCTTACTGCTCTTTTACATTCTGAATTTCATCAGAGATGATGTGTGTTGAAATCTTCTATAATTATACAGTTTCTTAATAAAGTTATGTTCTGAAATTCTCTATTAATTATTCAGATATTGTTATTTTTCTTCAATAACTTTTCATTATAGATATTTATAAGCTGTATAGTATTAAAATCATTCTCTTTATCTATAATATCACTCATCACAATATCAGAATCAGACATAATATTAAATCTTAGATTAAATTAATATCTTGATCTTTTTCTTTCATAGATCACTACTCTTGACTTTATCTCAGACTTTGAAGATAGAAAGCAGTAGTAGCTTGAATAAGAAATGATATATTTTTACTCAGTATTAAAATTCAGTTTCTGAAGCAGTATAAAATTAACTTTTTATTTAAATATAATTTAAAGACAAGAATAAATACAATCTGAGTTTCTATTCATATTATTTTAAATAAATGTGATTTTTGAAGAGTTTTTAAACTTTTTTTATTATTTTTATTGTATATTCATATTAAAAGAGAGTAGAGATAGAGTAGAATCTAATTACTATTATCAGCTAGTAGATTATAACTATTTTAAAAAGTAGAAATCTCAACTGCTTATATTATATCTAGTTTATTATCAGAGTCATTTCTCAATTCTCTAATCTTAACAGAAGTTTGAGAATTCAAATTCTATTTACATTTAGCTGAAGAATTGAAGTTTGAAGATTTAGATAGTTAAGAGTTTCTTCTTTTTAAGCTTATAGTTATGAGTTTACTGACTTAACTATTCTATTCAGTTTTAGATTGAATTTGAGCTTCATTTTTTCTTCAGTTCTTTTGAGTTCTTGAAGTAAATATACATTCTTTTGAGCTAGATGTATGTTTTTCTTTACAATTAAAGCATTTAAGCAGAGTATATTAATATATTTCATCTCTTTTTAAGTATGTTTCACATTTAAACTCACTAGTTTTATGATCTCTAGCACAGAATGCACATTTTAAGTCTCTAAAATAAGAGATTGTAAAGTGTTCATATCTCTGACAGTTTAAACACTGTGTTTGAGCTTTGAGATTCATTCTTGAGTCTTTATATTCATGAACTCTTATTTTCAAACCTGCTACTTTAAATCTGCTTTTATTTTATTATCTATAGAGTCATCTCTACTGATATTTATTTACTTCATCTCATGCTGAAGTCTTGTAATTTCTAGTCTTATATAAGCCTTCTTACTCACTGAGCTATTATTATTTCAGTTACTTAAGTTCTCTGCATTTTCTAATATCTCACTGATATCTTTAACTGAGTTTTTATATTTATTAAACTTATCAGACTGTTTCTCTGTAATGATTTTATTCAGCTTAAATATCTCAGAAACTGTCTTCTAATTCATTATTAATATTAACAGTGATCTGTAATCTTGTATTGACTGCTCTGATGTTTTCTCATTTCTCTGTTTTATAGATATGTATTCTTTTATTAAGTCAGATGTTCTTCTAAATCTTAGATTAATCATAAGTTTAATTAATCAATAAATCATCTAGACACACTTGCAATGACATGTGAAGATGTCAATTTAGCATGTTATTGCAGTTATTCATTTGCTTGTGAAAGAGCTTCATATCCTCTGGAAGAATAACATTGTTGTGTTGTGTGTGTGTAATCCTATCTACGCGAGTTACACTAAATGGATAGGTTGGAGTGGCACGTGACTAGGGTAGCTGTAGTAATCACCAACAGATCGGCCCTTCTACCAGCAGCACTGGTGGTGACTGAGCTCTTTTGCCTCAGTAGCCTACGGGTTATGAGACTGTTAAGTGTCAGCCCTGCTGTGGTCGACATGCATGGGTTTGATTTCAGGATGAACTTAAGAATATAAATCTCAAAAAACAAATACCCCGGACATTTAACAGTGCCAAGAGACATTCTAGAAGTGTGCCCTAGAAGTGAGCCCTTGAAAGAATGAGCCCTAGGAGTGAGTCCAAAAAGAAAGACTGCTGAGAGGAGCCACTGAGAGGAGTAATGTACTCTGTGGTTAGCTGGTCTGAGGGGGGGTGTTGGGGGTCCCGGGGGTTGATCGGCCCTTCTACCAGCAGCGCTGGTGGTGACTGAGCTCTTTTGCCCCAGTAGCCTACAATTAAGCTCTTTGTAGATAGCTCTATCAATACAACCTTCAACTATCCTACAGTAACTGAACAGGTCAATTATTATAAAATATTTTGTTATTTGCGTGAAAGGTGGAAATTATGAAGAGAAACAATTAACATCACAATTTGCTTTCAACTGATTGTCTTTTATTTCTCTTTTTCGTTCATTTTAGAATACTTTCTTCTAGGTTTAGCCTAAAGGCTGAAGAAATTGGAGCGCGTGGAAGGGATTATTTCTTGTTTTCATATTGACACATTATTTATTTATTTACTTTTTATCTAATATCATTCATACACCAAGGTACCGTAATAAAGGATAGACAATATGTGCCTTCAAACCCACTGGCGTAATATGGATGGAGGTGTATTATGTGCAATATTTGAATATTCCAGCCCCTTTATTGCAGAGCAATACACTCGATCTCGACCGGGACGCCCTTTGGAAGCTGGTGGACCGCAACGCAGCTGCGAGCAGGTTTATGCGTGAAGAACTTCTCATATTCGGCGTTCATTTCAGCAAAATCTTTCATATCTGTGAGGAAGACCTGAGAGTGCGTTTTCCGGGAAGCGATCGGAAGCGTTAAGTTAGTAATTAGATGGGGTTGTTATGAGCGGGCAGTTAACGCGAAGTGTGCCAGGAAAGGAGACAATCCACATTCATGTTCGGTAGACAGATAAACGCCAGCATTTTTCAACAGGCAGGTGATGGTTCTTCTTTTTAGGAACTTACGTTAACCTTTACGACGCGCTCTACGGTCGTCCCGGCCGCTGCCAGCACGGCAGCGATATTCTTGCAGCAGAGCGCAGTTTTTTCTCCAACCGAGCCTTCGATCAGATTCCCGTTCTCATCGGCTGGGATTGCGCCTGAGAGAAACACCTGCCCATTCGCTTTGATAGCGTGGGACTATAGTTTTACAAAAGGCAAATTGAAGGTTAGTTTCACTGTCCTAGTCGGAATTGAATTTGGGGAATCTGATGTACATACGTAAGGGCCCGCAGCTAGAGAAGGAGTTAATAGCCATGTTTTGAGTAAAAATATATAGAATCAATGATTGTATGTTCGGGTTGGATGGAATTCCGAACTTACGAGGGCACGCATCCTTTGCAAAGACTTGGACGATATCAGACATTCTTCTAAATTGGGAGGTTGCGATGCGTGGAGCAATTGATAGCGTAGAAGGGAATTGGCAATAGAGACGAGGAGAGCAGAAAGGAGAAATGCGAATAATCTGGTTTCTTATATGCCGAGTCAACATGACCTCAGTAGACGCTGCGGAGTTCGTTGTTTTGTTAATCGTAGAATTGTGTGTTGTACTCCGGGGTGTTGGTTTATCTCAGCAAGCTCAGACGCTTCTCCAGATATTCATTGCTGTTTTAACACTGGATTGATGATTATGTCATGAGCTAACCTCAAATAAGCAATAAGCTAACCCAAATAGTAAAATCAGGTCATGTGAGTGATAATATCTTGCAAAGTGTCTGAGAAGAAACAGTTCCTGGTTGTTAGCAACACGGGAATGATTTGCTCAGTACCCTGAGTATGAAAGAGAATTCCAACTCAACTTCATAGATTCATCATTTCTGTATCACCTTAGAACCTTAGAATAACAATGTTCTCACAATGTATCTGATTTTTATATTCATATCTCAAGTTCTTAGAATAGAAGTATCATCTCAAAGTTGACCAGTGTGTTTTTGAACACAGGAATTTTGATCCAATTTCTCATACAAAAAAAAGCTCTTAGAAATTCTGAGATCAAAAAATATGATCATTTTCAAGAGTATACATCTCTCTTAAATATAGATTTTTTTGAAATATTAAAGAAATATTTCTATTCTTCTTCTCTTTAGCTATAAGCTAAGGTGATTTTCAAATCTCAAAGATATGTGAGTATATAGTAATAGAAAGTCAAAGTTGAAGAATCTGAAAAATCCTTGTAAATCTCAGGAATCTCCATTGAAGATGAAACCATTTCTTCTCAGACCCTCTGGCGAGGATTGCTCTGAGCACATGACTTGTATCAAAAGTAGGTTAGTGTCATGCCGGATTAGTCTGCAACCTGTTCAAACCGAGCCAGAGGGTCTGAGCCCGCTGAGATAAGGTGTTGGTGATTACTACCATACGGGAAGAACGTAGGGTTAATTTACGGTGATTACACCGTGGATCCACCATTCCACCCGTGTCACGTGTCGCTGATCATAACACATGTTCCACCATTATATTCAGTGACACATCACTGAATATTAAATGTCAAGATGGCATTGAAACAGCACAGGACTTCTTGACATCATCAGGGGACAGCTCAGTCACCATGTAATCAGCAGATGCCATTATCAAGATACTACTGAGATACTGTGAGTCACAATATACTGTTCTGTCAGCAAAATCAATACTTGTATACTATTCAGCTAGACTAGTTAACTACTTCATATAAATCAAATTACTATCTAAAGAAATGAGATATTTCAAGTGCAATATAAATATCTTATTATCTGAGATTCATATATCAAATAATCATTATTTTTATCAGTATTCAGTATTGAAATGTCATGCAATACTGTCTTTTGAACTGCTGAAAGTCTGATAATAGTATAACTATCAGAATTCTCTTATAAAATCAGCAGATTCAGCAGACAATTCTGTCTGACATAATATAGAGAAGTAAGTATAAAGAAAATTCACTTAATCTCTCTCATTTCATGAATAAAGATAGTTATAATTCAGTCAATATCAGCTCTCTGATATTGAAGAATATCTCTCTTTATGAGAGAGATTCAGTGAATATACTCTCTGATTTATATATTAATAAGTCAATAACTGATTGATTGATTAGTTGAAGAGATATACTGAACTGAGAATGTTAACTTATTATAGAAAAGAATCAGACAGTGATCTAGTTTTAAAACTGAGAACTTATTTCAATCAGTGTTATAGAATTCTTACAGATTATTAAGAAATAAATGAAGCAATTCAAGTTTGAAGAGATTTATAAATTATATATTAACTTTCTCTGATATCTTGCTTAATAATAAATAATCAAAAGTCTTCAGAGCAATATAATCTTTTATTAACATTAACTTAACAGAGTAGTTCAGTGAATTATTATTCTTATCTTCAGCTTCTTTATTCATTCTCAGCAAATTATTGAAAAGTGCTGAATAATATGTATACAAATCTGGAATCTTCTGTATCAGACACACATCAGAGCTGTCAAAGAAATCTCTTAATACTAGTTATAAGATTCACTGAAAACTCTTCTGTAAGAGCAGTGTCTTTTTCATATCTTAATAATTTATTCACTGTACTAGATTCTTGTAGTCTCAATACTTATTCTCTTCTATCAGAACATTGCAATTGTTAGATACAGTATATTCTTTAATCAGCTCAATGTAGTGTAAGTTAATATATATATTCAGTCAACTCTTCATATATCATATAAGCTTTGCTTTTTTGATATAATTGTCACCACTGATACACATAGCAACTGTGCTCATAGTTGAAGCAGAGAATGATTGATAACTAACAACTGAATCAGCTCAGAATGATTCAAATGTTACTGCTGCTCTCATCACAGCTTTAATAAGAAACTGTAACTGTCAGCAGACTGTAAGTATGATTTGACAGACTACTTCAGAATTATTTTCTCTCAGAGATTGAGACATCAATAGACTATTACTTCTTACAATGACTGCATATATCTGAATAATAAGATCAATAGATGATTGATTTTGACTTTATGCTGAAAATGTTACAGGAATAATCTGCTTAATCACTGAACTGAGTCATCTCTCTCTGAGCTCACACTGTAAGACAAGAGATATAATGATTGAAGCTTAAGCATATTCTTGAAGCTGATACTTCTTGAGATGAGTGATTGACAACTGTAAATAATTTCAACTGTGAGAAAAGAAAAATGTCTGTAATATTCAGAAGTATTCTTGCTAATTATACAGTGACAGAACAGAATAGATCAGTTATAAGTATGAAATCTCTGATATTTCAGCAAACTCACTATGACATGAATCTGAAGGGAAAAATGAGATCAAATTCAAACTTAAGCATATTTAAAAAAGAGATACTGTCTGTGCTGTCATACTCTGCTCTTGACACATTTAATCTCTATGTGTGAGATTCAGCAGGTCATCTAGTTTAGTCTGAAGATGCTGTATATAATGATGAAATCAGCCATTATTACATAAATCATAGTTCAAATTCAGTCAATTCTTGTCATCAATAAAACAGTTTTAATAAGATCTTCTCACAGTTGATTCTTTGATCCCTGCATTACTATTTTACTGTGACATATCTTTAAGAAATGCTATGCAAGATGCAATTACTCTCATCTTTTCTTTATTAATATTCATCATAACTCTCTCATAATTCAATATAGATAAGTCATGCAATAATGCAGTGATAGTGTCAGAGAAATTAATATCATGAGAATCAAAGATTAGAATAAAAATATTGTTGCACTTTAAACACTTAACAGCACTCAGTGCAGAAATTATATAAAAACTTATCAAGCTTTGATACATGTTCTGATATAAACCAAATCCATCAATGAACAATTGATATGATAGGGAAATAACTTGTATATCAGAGTAAAATATGCTTTTCAAAATATCTTGTTCATATGCAGCAATTTTCAACTCAGTCTGAATCAGTGAAGATTTACAATATGATTATATCTTAACAGCTTCAGTCTTGATTCTCATAACCTGATGAAGAAAATACTGATCTTTACTCTTATATTCTGCTGATAGATTGAAATCTGATTCAAATATTGTATTCATATGAACATCAAGTTAATTCAGAATCTGAGTAATTGAGATATATTTCATCTCATCTTTCATTGTGATTAATTCAAATGAAACAAATAGCAGATTCAAGAATGATAATCTTTGTACTATCTGAGAAGTATGATGAATGACTTCTTGAACTTTCAGAACTATTATATAAGGTCTCATTCTCATGTCTGAATGTTAATAATCACATCTGACAAAATGCACTCTCTCAATATGAGATATATTATTCAACCTCAATTTGCAGTAGCATTCAAGATTCCCACACTGATACTGAATAAAATCAGAAGAAAAAAGAGGTTTATTTGTTGATGAATATTATACAAAGTTGCTGAAACAATATTTGACAGAGCTTCTTCAACTGTGAGATTATCATAACTCAGTGAGATTGTTGACAAAACAAATGAATTCATTTCAAAGTTACTGCATTTGTGAGCTATGTCAATTGCTGGATCAGAATCAATAAATTCATCAGTAGAGTGATCTTATAAAGAATACAGCAAGATTTTTCTGAGTAGAACTCAGAGTTAGTATTTACATTAATGACACTATTGAAATTGACATTTTCTTAACTGGCAAAATCGGAAATTGTGCTCTGCATTGCTTTTTCAGAGTTGATAGGCCTTCAGAGAGCAGACTTATCAGTGATGTATTCTTCAATAAATGCAGGATTTGCAGCAGTGATTGGTAGTTTTTTCAGGAAATACCCGACTCTTCAGCCCAGAGTCCCATTGTCAAAACAAATGAATTCATTTCAAAGTTACTGCATTTGTGAGCTATGTCAATTGCTGGATCAGAATCAACAAATTCATCAGTAGAATGAGAGACAGTAGTAATATCTTCAATAGCAGTATCTTTCATAGCAATATCTTCAGCAACTGGCTTGTCAGAATCTTCTTGATCATCATTTTCTAAGATATTTTCCAGGATATTCTCTGGAATATTCTCCTCAGCGCCTGCTTTCAAAAGCCACTCTATATACTCAACATTATCAGCAGCATCCTTGTTATATGACTCTGCCTTTAGACAATGTTAGTTTTTATAATAATAAGACATTAAAAGTGATAAACATACTGAGAATAGCAATGCTTCTTCATCAGAAACATCATTATCTGAATCACTGTTAGTGAAATCCTCATTTGCAGTTTCTGGGAAAAGAGGGCTCTGAGGTTGGAATTTCAATTGATCATCCCCGGATTCTTGCCTAGAGACAGATAGCAGATAGTGTTTTGAATTTCAATTAAACAGACATGACATTTTGCTTTCTGATATGATTTATAGAAACAAGTTGTATAGTTGAAAAGATATGATTGAAGTGAGTGAGCAGTCTTGATGAAATAAAGAGATGAGGTTGAATTACTGAAAAGAAGTATATTAATAAGAGCTGCAATCAGTGACAATCTACATCAAATTAATATTAACAATCAAACTGTTTTCTTTATTTCAAGATTATATTTCTGCAAGCTTCTGAAATCAGTATCATTCATTGACTAGAATTTGAATCTAATTTCAAAAATGA